CGTTACACCACAGTCTTCCCCTTGCGCAGCAAGGGTGACGTCACTGAGGTGTTGATCGACTGGATCCGCGCAGCTCGTCTCTAGCTAAGACAGAGTTTCGGCTCGGACTTTCCTGTTCTGCGTCTGCACTCTGACCGAGGCGGAGAGTTCTCCTCTAGCCTTCTGGGAGCCTTCTGTCGTGCACAGGGCATGCGCCAGATGTCACGCTTCCGGCCTTTCCACAGCAAAATGGGATTGCTGAGCGCCGCATTGGCATGGTCATGGACGTCGCTCGTACGTCCATGATGCATGCGGCTGCTCCCCATTTTCTGTGGCCGTTTGCGGTTCGGTACGCAGCGCATCAGATCAACCTTCAGCCTCGGGTCTCCTTGCCGGAGACCTCCCCCACCTTGCGGTGGACGGGGAAGGTTGGCGATGCGTCTGCGTTTCGGGTCTGGGGATCTCGGGCGTTTGTCCGCGACTTGTCTGCGGACAAGCTGTCCCCCCGTGCTGTTCTTTGCCTCTTCCTTGGCTTCCCTCTTGACGCGCCTGGTTGGCAGTTTTACCACCCCACTTCGCGCCGTGTTCTGTCCTCCCACGACGTCACCTTTGACGGGTCGGTTCCTTACTACCATCTCTTCCCCTACCACACTGCGCCCCTCCCCCCGCCGCCGCTCTTCCTTGCACCACGTCCCCCCCCGGTAAACCCTCTCCCCCCTCAGGGTCCTGCCCTGTCCGGTGTGTCCCAAGTAGACGCAAACGAGCCTGTCGAGGTAGCTGTTGACTCTGGTGCTGCTAGGGGTGCTGAGCCTAGGGGTGTTGAGTCTGGGGGTGCTGAGCCTAGGGGTGCTGAGTCTCGGGCTGCTGAGCCTGGGGGTGCTGAGCCTGGGGGTGTGGAGCCTGGGGGTGCTGAGCCTGGGGGTGCTGAGCCTGAGGGTGCGGAGCCTAGGGGTGCTGTGTCTGCTCCTGTGGCCTCTGGCGGTACTGGGTCTGGGGGCCCTTCGGGTGCTTCGTCTCGGCGGGAGCTACTCTCTCCAAAGGAGCTGCGCGAGTGGTTTGCCCGGCGATGGAGCTGTGCTGCTGGAGTTGGTGCTGCTGGAGGTACTGGAGCTGCTGGTATTATTGGGGGGACTGGAGCTACTGGGCGTGGAGGTGCTCCTAGTGCTTGAGCTACTGGCGGTGCTGGAGCTGGCGGTCCTGCTGGAGTAGGTGCTGCTGGAGCTGCTGGAGCTGGAGCTCCTGGGGGTGTTGGCGCTGGTACTTCTGAGGGTGCTGGAGTTGGCGCTGCTGGAGCTGGAGGTGCTGCTGGCGCTGGTGCTGCCACTCGGGGTACTGGTGCTGTCCGTGCTGTTTCTGGAGGCGATGCACGGCTGCGGCCGTACTTCGTTCCGCTCCTTCAGCAGGTTCTTGGTCTTCCGCCTTCTACTGGTCCTGCTCCTCCCTTCGAGTGTCCACCGCCTGTCCAGTCGCAGTCACAGTTACAGCCCGCCTCCCCCCTGCCTGCTCCTTCTCCCTACACTGGTCCTACTAGAGGTCTTGCTGAGCATCGTGAGCCTGCGTCTCGTCCTGCGTCGCCTGTTCGTGCTGCTCGCACTTGTAGTCGTGTTCCGCGTCCGCGTCCTCCTGCGGTCCCAGGCACACACCAGATGGCACTGCGTCCTTCCAGTGCTCCTCTACGTGTCCCGTTGCCGTCTCCTCCAGAGTCCTCTCTTCCTGTTCTTGCTGACCCAGAGTCGGACTCTCTTCGTGCTGCCAGTCCTACTGTCACGCGTCTCCTGGCTACTGTCGTCACTGACCCTTCCTTTGAGTCCATTGCTGCGTCTGCCTTGGTTGCTGAGCTTGTCGACTTTGCTGCTCGCTGTCGTCTAGACTACGCTGCTAGTCTTGTTGCTGAGTCTGAGTCTGTCTGTCCTCCGTCCGTCGGGGGTGAGTGTGCTCTTAGCACGGACGTCCTTGAGGACAGGCAGGAGGAGTTCCAGTGTTTTGCTGCTGCTTTGCCTCATCTCGTGTCCACGCTGATTGCCCCTAAGGGAGACCGGATGCACTAGACATCCCGACTCCTCGATCGTACGCTGAGGCGATCGAGGGTCCCTACTCCTCACAGTGGCAGTCAGCCATGGACGTAGAGATGGCTTCCTGGAAGTCCACAGGCACCTATGTCGACGAGGTTCCCCCACCTGGGGCGAACATCGTCAGTGGCATGTGGATTTTCAGGGTGAAGCGGCCGCCGGGTTCTCCGCCTGTCTTCAAGGCGCGTTACGTGGCTCGAGGCTTCAGACAGTGGCAGGGAGTTTACTACTTTCAGACCTTCTCTCCCACCCCGAAGATGACCACTCTTCGGGTGCTGCTGCACATAGCCGCTCAGCGCGACTACGAGCTTCACTCTCTTGACTTCAGCACAGCTTTCTTGCAAGGCAGCCTGCACGAGGAGATCTGGCTGCGCCGCCCACCTGGCTTCACTGGGTCGTTTCCTCCTGGTACCCAGTGGAGCCTCCGGCGGCCAGTCTACGGTCTCCGCCAGGCGCCCCGTGAGTGGCACGACACACTGAGGACTACACTTGCGGCTCTTGGGATTGCTCCTTCTACTGTCGACCCGTCGCTATTTCTACGCACCGACACCTCTTTGCCGCCGTTCTACATCCTCGTGTACGTTGACGACTTGGTCTTTGCCACTGCTGACACTGCTCGACTCGCCCACGTGAAGTCCGAGCTGCAGAAGAGACACACGTGCACAGACCTGGGTGAACTGCGCAGCTACCTTGGCTTGCAGATCACCCGTGACAGAGCACGCCGCACCATTACCCTGACTCAGTCACACATGGTGCAGCAGGTCCTTCAGCGCTTCGACTTCATGTACTCCTCGCCTCAGGCCACTCCTCTGTCTACTCGCCACTCGCTCTCAGCTCTGCCTTCGGATGAGTCCGTAGAGCCGAGTGGCCCGTACCCAGAGCTTGTTGGCTGCCTCATGTACCTGATGACCTGCACTCGACCTGACCTTGCATACCCTCTTAGCATCTTGGCACGCTATGTTGCTCCTGGGAGACACAGACCGGAGCACATGGCTGCAGCGAAGAGGGTGTTGCGCTACTTGTGCAGTACGTCGAGCATGGGGCTAGTGCTTGGAGGGCGGCGTTCAGTGGTCCTCACAGGTCACGCAGACGCTTCTTGGGCTGACGACCAGGCTACGCAGCGGTCGTCACAGGGTTACACCTTCAGCCTTAGTTCCGGCTCTGTTTCGTGGCGGTCTACCCGCTCGTCTTCTGTTCTCGGCTCTAGCTGTGAGGCTGAGATCTACGCGGGAGCCATGGCTGCATAGGAGCTACGCTGGCTCACCTACCTGCTGACTGACCTCGGAGAGCCGCCTCGTTCTCCTCTAGTTCTGTACGTAGACAACAAGGCCATGCTGGCCTTGAGTCGGGAGCACAGACTGGAGCATAGAACGAAGCACATTGCTCTTCGTTACTTCCTTGCTCGTGAGCTGCAGCAGCGTGGTCACCTGCGCCTTGCTTACGTGACCTCTGAGGCCAACACTGCTGATATCTTTACCAATGCACTTCCGCCTTGTGATCATCAGCGCTGCTGTATGATGCTAGGTCTTGTGCATACTGTGCCTCATTTGCTCACTTCTTGACCTTGCTTGTACTATGATCTATCTATACCTGCACTTGCTTGTTTACCTTTATATATGATCTTGCATGTGAACTGGCCTTGTGGCCTTGAACTTGTGCTCGGAATGTGTGGTGACGCTGTGATCTACCCTGAGCCTGCTTTGCTTTGCTTGACTGGTCTTGTGACCTCTTGTTCTCTCCCACTTTGCCTATGGGGGTGTGTCAAAGTTATATGCTATAGTCTTTGTAGGCTGTAGTGGGGTAGACAATGTGGGGTACAACACTTTTAGGTTTTCCTACTTGTACCCACCTGTTTCCCAGTGCATTCATTCCCCATTTCTTCACAATTCCTATTATCCAAACTAGCTCTCATACCATGTTAGAGTGAAGACCGTTGTTATGATAGGAGTGCCTTGAAAAGTTTGGTAGCGGAATTCTTATGGTAGGAACTGTGGTCATAGTGAATGTAAATGACAATGTTGATTAAAACATAAAATTACACACAATAAATAGATCTAACTAGCCATGTACTCTGAGGGGTACATTCCCTTAATCAAACTGCTTTACTGGCAATTCTACAGTGACTCTGACCGTTGCACTTCTTCTTGTTACTGAGTCGCTGCGTGTAACCGTACGCAGAGTTACGCGTGTTGCCATTCGTCGATGGTAAGTCAATCGTCGGTTCAGATGGTCAACTATCACGATAGTTGACTCTTGCGACTGTTGACCTTCCTGCCCTTGATACGGGCTGATCCAATACTATGCTAGCGCTGCTTCGATAATGACGGATGCGATACTGCTGCACCTACGGGAATGCTAAGTATAATTCCCTTCATACTCCAACACTGTTCTAATAATGCCGCTGTTAAATATGATTTCATATTATATACATGTTGGGTAGAGTTGCAATTCCTTCATTTTAACCTGTTATGGAGCTGTTGCGGTGAATCTATATGTATGATGTATTTTCTGGTTGAGATGTGATCTCTTAATCCCTTTTAATATGATGCCTCATATTACGTTTTTTTTCTAGAATAATGGGCTCACTTCGTTAGTGCATTCAAGAGGTGTAGTGGAACAACGGAGAGGCCAATAACGGACTTACAAGAATATAGAATCAATGTTTTCCTGACATCCGGCCTGTCCTGTTGGTTGCATTTTCGGCGGTGCTAGTTTCAACCGCCAACCTCGAATGTCTCTAGATCGGGATGATCACGTAGACTGCTGCATCCCTTGCTGTTGCTCAATTTCGAGCTGCCATCTTTTCTCTGTCTAATATCGCCGTTGGTTGCTTTATCGGACTTCAGATTAATCGTGTAGCTTGATTCCGGCGACGACCTTGCTGTTGTAGTCGCGTGATGGCTCACAGTCAAGCACAAGCACGGAGACCAAAATCAAGCATCGCGACGGCAGATGATCCGAAAAGCGTCGCGACGGCAGATTCGAAAAGCGTCGCTGACGGCAAACCAGGCGATGCTTCTGGTGACGTCATCATCGCTCCGCCGCTGAACAGATGGTCGCGGCGCGTCCGCGTGGGGATCTTCGCGGCGTGCGTCCTCACTCCCGTTATAGTGGCGTTTCTCGTGATGGACCTGGATCCGTTAGAGCGACGATCCATTACAATCAACGCCGTTATGAGCGTCGCGGGATTCTTTATAACGACGAAACTCATTCCGTTGGCGGTGCCTTATATGTTGCGGAGAAACATGTTCGGATTCGATATAAACAAGCGAGGTTCCCCAGCTGGAGAAATCAAGATGTGAGTACAACGAACGGTGAGAAGCACTGATATATCAACACTGCTCAGATGTGCTGCTTACGAGCGATGCTCTCAGCCGGCAATTCCAAGTGTGATATTAGTGAAGGGGAGAGTAATGTTCCAAGTGTACCCAGGGTCGATTGGGTAGTGGTAGTGTGCATCATTCCCACTTCCACTCACCCTTTCCCTCCCTCCCCCGTACTGCGGGACTCAGGATCGGGTTTGGTGGTACCCACTGTGTGCTCATGGGTGGATAGGTGGTACTGTGCATTTCCTTTGTCAACCGTGCACCCCCATGCCCCCCATTCCATGCTTGCCCCACACTCCCCAGACCCGAGACGTGAATGGTGACTCCCCCTTGTCACCTGTGCTGTGCATGTACCCCCATGCACCCCATGACCCCCATGGCTCCATGCAACCCCATGCCATGTGCTTCCACACTACCCCCTATCCAGACCCGAGACGCAGGGACTGGTGGTGGCGCTCGTGTACCTGGTGGTAACCATCCTTTTCCAGCACTTCTACTTCACGCCTGACTCGCCTGTGAGTGCCTCCCAGGTGATGTTTCAGGTGTTTCTTCAGCTATAGCGAGCTCAGGTAAGATATGCAGGTCCTTGCTCAGCTGATCCCACTCTCACGCTGCATTCTCCCCTTATCATGTCCTTCTCAGCTCCCTCTCCTCGCTCCCGTGCGCCCCTCGCCCCACTTCTCCCTGCCATCCCCCCTCTGCCCGCGTGCATCAGCGGACCCAACAGCTGCTGGAGCCAAACGCGCCTTTGGCTGTTTATCCTGGCCGGATTGGGACGGGCGTGCATCTGCTTCGTGGCCTTGCCTGCTTCTACCCACTCGCCCGTGCACATCCACTTCTACCCACTCGCCCGTGCACATCCACTTGTACCCACTCGCCCGTGCACATCCACTTCTACGCCCCCTCTCCCAGTGCCGTGCCTGCTCTCTGCGCATCTGCTTCAGAACAATGCAGCGTTGGCGAGCATCTGCTTCACGGCCTTCCTGGGCTTCGTTCAGTCCCCCTTGCTATCCCACCGCTCCCTCTCCCCTCTCTTCCCCCCTCCAGTGGCTGCTTGAGTACAACGCAGTGCTGGCGTGCATCTGCTACATGGCGTGCATCTGCTACATGGCGTGCATCTGCTACATGCCGTGCTCTACTCACTTTTACCCACTCACCCCCTGCTCGCCCCCTCCTACCTTTCTCCCCCTTCGCTCCCCCACCTGCCGTCCCCCCCCATGGGGCAGTGGCTGCTGGAGTACAATGCAGCGCTCGCGTGCATCTGCTACATGGCCTTCCTGGGCTTCATCGACGATGTGCTCGACATCCCCTGGCGTGTGTCAGTGCTGCTGGGGGGTGCTGCTGGGGGGTGCTGCTGGGGGGAATGGATCATATCAAGGGCACGTTTGGGCTCGGGAAGATGGGCAGGGGAGGATGGGCAGGGGAGGATGGGCAGGGGAGGATGGGCAGGGGCAGATGGGCAGGGGGGAGATGAGATGAGGTTACTTTCGGGGCCCTTTTCCCCTCCCCTCCCACGTCTCCTAACGTCCTTAGCCATTTGAGACGCCTCACAAGGTCTCCCGCCATCCCGCATGCTTCATGTCATTCTGTACCTCGTCCTTTACCGCTCTGCGTCTCCGTGAAAGAAGAGTGTTTTTGAGACGTCTCACAAACACTCTTCTTTCACGTGGCTACCTCGTCCTTTACCGCACTGCCTCTCCGATCCTCTTTGCCTGCCCTCGCCGCACCACCATTGCCACCCCCAAGCCACGTGGTTGCTCCCTCCGAAGCCCCATGCTTGTCTCTCTCCTTCCCCCCCTTCTCCCCCGCAGCAAGCTCATTCTCCCCGCAGCAAGCTCATTCTCCCCGCAATCGCCGCGCTGCCTCTCCTCATGGCCTACTCCACCCACACCACCATCATCATGCTGTTTCCCGCCCCATCCCACCCCTTCCCACCCCTTTCCCGCCCTTCCCGCCCCTTCCTGCCCCTTCCCGCCCCTTCCTGCCCCTTGCCGTCCCTTCCTGCCCCTTCACGCCCCTTCCTGCCCCGTCCCGCCCCTTCCCGCCCCTTCCTGCCCCTTCCCGCCCCTTCCCGCCCCTTCCCACCCCTTCCCATCCCTTCCCGCCCCTTCCCGCCCCGTTCCCGCCCCTTCTCGCCTTCTGTCCCGCCCCCACCTCCTTTCCCTCTCCTCTGCAGGAAACTCATTCTCCGTTCCATCGCGGCCCTCCCTCTCCTCATGGCCTATTCAGGCCACACCACCATCGTCATCCCCAAGCCAAGTGTTCGTCGGTCCCTTCCAATCCCTTGCCCCGTGCTTCTCCCTCCCTCCCTGCCCCCTTCTCCCCTGCAGCAAGCTCATTCTGCCGTCTATAGCGGCCCTGCCTCTCCTGATGGCCTATTCAGGCCACACCACCATCGTCATCCCCAAGCCGCTGCGGCCGCTGCTGGCAGGGCTGGCAGGCGAGGAGGTGGCCGTGTGGGACCTGGGCGTGCTGTACAAGGTCTACATGGGCATGCTCGTCGTCTTCTGCTCTAATTCCATCAACATTCTCGCGGGAGTGAACGGGTTGGAAGCTGGGCAGACTGCTGTGATCGCTGCTGCGGTGAGTGTGGTGTGGCGTGAACGTGCTTCACTAGGGCTGCATGCACCTGGGGAAGGGGGGATATGGAATGGGGGGAGGGGGGGTGTGGAATGGAGGGAGGTGGTAGTGTGGGACCTAGGCGTGCTGTACAAGGTCTACATGGCCATGCTCGGGTGTTCTGCTCCCTCCATTAATATCCTGGCGGGAGTGAATGGTTGGGAGGCCGGCCAGGCTGCAGTGATCGCTGCTGCGGTAAGATTGGGAGAAAGAGAATGTGAACTTATAGCTCCAAGGCATTAAGTGTGGGGTCTCGGGGTGCTCTGTGAAGCGTACCTTAGTGGGAAAATACGCTCAGAACTGTTTGCGTTTAGCGTATACACGCTAGCGTTTATACGCAATACGCAAAACGCTAGCGAATACGCTATACGCTAGCCAAATTTTTTTAGGGGCAGCCCGGCCAAAAAAATTCAACCTATACGGTTCGCTTCGGAATTGCACGACGAACACATTGGCGGGGTCAAATGTCACGTCCGCGCTGTGTGCTAGCGTGGACGTGGGTTGAAAGTTTGAGCCGCGAATGGAAAGTAACGTACGTCGAGTCGCGCTTGCACGTTCCCTCACATTTTGGTGGTCACAGTCAGTACCGCATTCAAAACCTTCACAACCAATTGCGATTCCAACTTCAGTTGCCCATCTTCCAACTCCCCCAATCTACTCGCTATTAAACACGCACACCCCCAACATCCAACTCATTAGGTCTTCTCCCGCTACCAGCAGAGCACTGGGCATTCCCTAGCGCCTGGTGCCTATGTCGACTACTACCACTTCTCCCACGACACCGTCAGTTAACACCGTTGGCAGCTCGCAGACTCTTCTAACCGAGGCACGGGAGTATCTCCCCGACGTCGACCATGTCGTCTTCAAGCATTTCCGCATCGTCAAGCGGGTCGAGGGTAAAGCCCAGCAGTACGAGTGCAAGTTCTGCAGCAACCTCTACACCGGTGCTGCCATCCGATGCGCGCAACACTTCGCGTCGTGGAAGGGCATGAAACGCCGTGAAGTGGTGCTGTGCAAGGATGCGCCGCAAGATGTGCGTCGGGCCATGAAAGCGCATTACGAGGCAAAGACTGCTGCGGCCGACGAAAGGAGGCGGGCCGCTGCTGCCGCGGTTGCCGCAGTGACGGCTGACGGTGGGAAGCGCGCGCGAATCACCGATTACCTCGAGGGGGATACGGCTGCACGAAAGCGAGAAGCGGACGAGTCACTTGCGCTTGCTTGGGCCGCCCTCCACATCCCCGAGCGCCACATTGACCATCCTCTGATGGTCAACGCATTGAACAACGTCTCCCGCGCCGGGAAAGACTACGTTCCCCCCAAGCGGAAATACGTCGGCGGTGCTGGCCTTGTAGCGTGTCGCAACGGCATCGAGGCGGGTTTGGTGGGCGTCAAAACGAGCTGGAAGCGGACGGGCGTGACGGTGTCGTCCGACATGATGACGGACCGCAGGGGCAGGCCGCAGGCCAACATTCTTCTCGTCAATGATTCGGGCGCCGTCTTCTACGACTGTGTTGACTGCAACATGGAGAAGAAAACGGGTGGTTACGTGGCGGGGATTCTCAGGCCCGTGGTGGAGGAAGTGGGGCCAGAGAACGTTGTGGCGTTCTGCATGGATGGGGGATCGAACTACGCGGTGGCGGTGAAGCGACTGATTCAGGAGTGGCCGCACATTCAAGACGTGCCGTGCGCCACCCATGTGATGGATCTTCTCCTGGAAGACGTGGGGAAGATGGGGTGGGCTAAGCCGGTGGTCGACAAGGGAGGGGAGATTAGCAGCTTCGTCCGCAACCACCATTGGACCCGCGGGTACCTGCGCACGCCGGAATTGGTGGAGGGGAAGGTTCTGGAAGCGCTGAAGCCGGCTGGAACGAGGTTCGGGACGAACTACATCTCCATCTCCCGGCTGTGTGCGATGCGCGGCAGCCTCACCAACATGGTGACGAGCGAGGGGTGGAAGGAGTGGGCGGTAGGGGACCGGAAGAAATCATGCGACGCGTTTGCTGCGCTGATCCATGATGCCGCCTGGTGGAAGACGGCCGACTTCTTCACTGCCCTCCTGAAGCTGCCCTATAAGGCGATGAGGCAGACGGACGGGCATGCCGTGGGGATGATGGGGAGGATATACGATGTTATGCTTCAGTTGACTGAGGACGTGGGGGACTTACTCGATGCGGACGAGGAGCAGCTGAGCAACGCGGATAAGGACCAGATCCGCAAGATCCTCAGAGACCGCTGGGACGGCAGCCTCGCATGCGCCATGCATGTCGCTGGCCGCATCCTCAACCCCGCCAATCAGGAGGAAGATATCTTCGGCACTGATCTCGAGTGCACGAAGGTCTTCAAGGTGTTCATCAGCCAGTACGCCGAGTTCCTTGCGAGCCGCGGGGATGGGGGGGATGACGCTTGCAGCATCTTGCTTGAGCTGGGGGACGGGCTGAGGGCGTTTCTTGACATGAAGGGTTCTTTTGGGATGCCGGAAGCCGTGGCACAAAGGAAGCTGGTGAAAGAGGGGAAGTATAGCATGGTGAAGTGGTGGCAGTGGAATGGGACCGATGCTCCACGTGTGGCGGGGCTAGCGGTACGGGTGCTGTCTCAGCCCGTGTCCGCCTCACCTTGTGAGCGTGGATGGTCATCTTGGGATGTCGTCCACACCGCACGTCGGAACAGGCTCGGATCCGCCAAGTGCAGGGACTTGGTCTATGTTACGCACAACTGGAATGTTGTGCGCAACTGGCACACGCGCGCCGATGTCCTGCCACATGTGGTGGCCGGGATAGGAGCGGAGCCTCCAATCCCGGCGGGATACAATGGGCTGGAAGACGAGGCGAAGGGAGAGGATGAGGAGGAAAGCGACGACGACATCCTCGAAGACGAGTACGCTAAGTAGAGGGGGCATATGTGGCTTGCATTGCAGTGGGCGGCCAGGCCTAAGGAGTAGTACCTAGAGAGTCCAGGATATAAGTGATGGTCGTGATGGTGTAGTGTACCATTGTAGTGATGGTAGTGGTAAGAGAGTTAGAGAGTAGGGGAAAGTTATGTGCAGGCCTTGGTGTATGTGACTTAGTGGGAAAAAAATGTACTCTGAAATTTCAGACCCCAAACCCCTGCCCCATACCCCCCCCCCCCCCCCCCCCCCCTTCCCAGGGTTTTTTTGACCCTGCCCGGGAAGTTTTTTTTCTGCCCGGAAAAGCGTATTCCCAAACTCGGCCCGAAAGTGTTTAGCGTATATACGAGTGCGTATATAAGATAAGCTTATATACGCAATAAGCTTATATTCCCACTAAGAAGCGTACATGGGGTGCTCTACAAGGCGTTCATGGGGTGCTCTACAAGGCGTTCATGGGGTGCTCTACAAGGCGTTCATGGGGTGCTCTACAAGGCGTTCATGGGGTGCTCTACAAGGCGTTCATGGGGTGCTCTACAAGGCGTTCATGGGGTGCTCTACAAGGCGTTCATGGGGTGCTCTACAAGGCGTTCATGGGGTGCTCTACAAGGCGTTCATGGGGTGCTCTACAAGGCGTTCATGGGGTGCTCTACAAGGCGTTCATGGGGTGCTCTACAAGGCGTTCATGGGGTGCTCTACAAGGCGTTCATGGGGTGCTCTATAAGGCGTACATGGGGTGCTCTACAAGGCGTTCATGGGGTGCTCTACAAGGCGTTCATGGGGTGCTCTACAAGGCGTTCATGGGGTGCTCTATAAGGCGTACATGGGGTGCTCTATAAGGCGTACTTGGGGTGCTCTATAAGACGACGGCGAACCCCATCATTATCTTGTAAAGAGTACAGCTTTACCGCAACATGCATTAGATTCGAGAGCAGCACAGACAGCTCAGGAATAGATAATGGTTACCTCCAACCCACGCCACCCCTCTCTACCCCTCTCTACCCCTCTCTACCCTGTTGCCCTTCTCAACCTGCCTCCTCCTTGCGACCCCCCCTTACCCGTCTCTCATACTCCTCCCTCTTATCCTCCCACCACGCATCCTCTCTCTGTCTCTTGCTCCCTACCTTCCCCCTCCCCAGTCCCCCCCATTTCTTGCTCTCTTTCTTCCCGCCCCCTCCCGTACCCATTCAGGGACTGCTGTTCAGTCCAGCATCTGGCAAGTTCAAATACGCTGCCAGGCATCAAGCTGCCACTCTCTCTTTGTTTTGAGAAAACTAAAAAATCAAGCTGCCACTCTCTCTTTGTTTTGAGAAAACTAAAAAATCAAGCTGCCACTCTCTCTTTGTTTTGAGAATTCTAAAAAATCAAGCTGCCACTCTCTCTTTGTTTTGAGAATTCTCAAAAAACAAGCTGCCACTCTCTCTTTGTTCTGAGAACTCTCAAAAATTAAGCTGCCAGCCACTCTCTCCCTCTCTCTCGTCTTCCTCTCCCCTCATTCACTGTCGCCCCTTCTACCCTCCCCCTTCTCCCCCCTCCTCCTCCCTCGCTCGCAGGTGCTGCTGTTCAACATATGGCAGATAGGCGAGCTGCCGGGCTTGAAGCTGCCACTGCAGCCGGACATGCAACAGGCGCACCTCTTCTCCATCTACCTCATCCTCCCTCTGCTTGCATGCACTCTCGCTCTCCTCGTCTTCAACTGGTGAGTTTTCAACGGGTGTTACGCTGTGCGTCCAATCGGCTGAAAGCCGAACTCTTATTTCGTCCACTTTTCGCTGCAGGTGTTTCTCTGGAACTTTCTGGTGCTGGTGCTTTCTGGTGCAGGTGCTTTTGAGAATTCTCAAAAAGCAGCTGCTACAAAAGGTAATCTCCATCCACCTTTACTTCTGAGACGTTTCAGCTCAGCTATTAGCTTGAATCTGCTTTTGAGTCGACTCAAAAGCAGGCTCAGATATTAGCTTGAAACACACCTCTTCTCCTCCCACCTCGACTTTTGAGACCTCTCAAGTATCAGCTTGAAGCATACCTCTTGAAATAAGTGTGTTTCTGAGGCGTCTCAAAAACACACTTATTTCACGTGGTCCTCACCTCGACTTTTGAGACCTCTAAAATAGCAGCTTGATTGAAGCATACCTCTACCCCTCCTCATGTCTTCTGCCCTCTCCCCTCTCTCCCAGGTACCCCTCGCAGGTCTTTGTGGGCGACACCTTCACCTACTTTGCTGGAATGACACTCGCTGTGGTCGGCATTCTAGGCCACTTCAGGTAACCGCTTATCAGTTCAGTAGCTTGTCCTTATCAATGTTTTCAACCCGTCTTAATCGATCCATCGATTTTCTCATTTCCATTCAGTCCATCAGTCTATTATCAATCCATATTGACCTCCTCTTCTTCTTGCTGCATTGCATTGTCTGCTGCTACGACCCTGTCCCCCTCTGCTGTCTCACACACTCAACCCTTGCTTTCCCCTTTCCTCTCTTCTTTTCCACCAGTGAGACTCTTCTGTTGCTCTTCCTCCCTCAGGTCATCAATTTCATCTACTCCATTCCCCAGGTATGTTGTCACTTCTCAGAAATTTCAGAACAACTTTGTTTTCCTCTGAATGTCAACATGTCATCGCCTGCTCATGTTCTTCTAAGCAAACTTTTCGCTCATCCTTTCCCTTCCCCCATGCACCCCATCCCTCACAATCCCCCTCACCCCTCCCATTCCCCCTCGACCCTTTCCTCCTGCCCCTTGTCGTCCCGTCTCAGCTCTTCAAGTTCGTGCCGTGCCCAAGACATCGCCTGCCCAAGTGAGTACCATGCCTTTGCGCTCCGTTTTGCGTGAAATGAAGCGCCTCGATACCGTGCCCCCTCCTCCCGTATTGTCTCTCCCTCTTCGCATGCTCCTTTGATTCATGTCTGGTTAGCTCCGTTGGTTTTCCCATTGTCCGCCACATACTGGTGTACGGCGGAAAGTGCGCTTATGGGATGAGAGTGCCAGTGCTGCTCTTTTAACATCGCATTGACTCTGCCAGTGCTGTAAGCAAGAAGTACTCTCATAAAAACGTTGAACATGGTACCCTACCTCTACTTAAGATGAAGAAGCGGGTCAAATTTTCCCATCCTACCTCCCCCGATAGATGCCGGTGCGGGGCAGGAAGTGCCCGCATAAGAGCACGTTTGACCTTGCAGGAAGTGCCCGCATAAGAGCACGTTTGACCTTGCAGGAAGTGCCCGCATAAGAGCACGTTTGACCTTGCAGGAAGTGCCCGCATAAGAGCACGTTTGACCTTGCAGGAAGTGCCCGCATAAGAGCACGTTTGACCTTGCATCCTATCCTACCTCCGACCGATTGATGCAAGGTCACATCTGGCCAAAAACTTCACAGAATTCCTGGAGTCCCGACCCGACCACATCAGGTGCTGCTGGTAGCAGATGGGGCAGCGCCAGACCCTCTTGACGTCCCTCGTTAGGCCTTGATTCATTTTGCGGTAGGCCTTGATTCATTTTGAGGTAGGCCTTGATTCATTTTGAGGTAGGCCTTGATTCATTTTGAGGTAGGCCTTGATTCATTTTGAGGTAGGCCTTGATTCATTTCGAGGTAGGCCTTGATTCATTTTGAGGTAGGCCTTGATTCATTTTGAGGTAGGCCTTGATTCATTTTGAGGTAGGCCTTGATTCATTTTGAGGTAGGCCTTGATTCATTTTGAGGTAGGCCTTGACTCATTTTGAGGTAGGCCTTGATTCATTTTGAGGTAGGCCTTAATTCATTTTGAGGTAGGGTGCAAGGTCAAACGTGCTCCCATACGGGCATTTTCAGCCCCGCCCACACCAACACAACACCTGTTGGAGGAGAAATGGTACAGAGCATGGGAAAATGGTACAGAGCATGGGATAATGGTACAGAGCATGGGAAAATGGTACAGAGCATGGGACAATTGTACAGAGCATGGGAAAATTGTCGATATTGACTGCTGATCCGCGCAGCAGATAGGCGCATTTCAACCATCAATTCGTGCTGATTGGTGCATTTCGACCGGCTTTTGTGTGAATTGTCGATCTTGACAGCCAATCCATGCAGACTGGCGCATTCCGACAACCAATCTGTGCAACCGCCGATTGGTGGATCCGCGGATTTCAACAAATCAGATCGGCAGTTTTGGTGGCCGATCCACGTGAATGGGCACAGTACAATCGCCAGTCCATGTCCCTCGGCGATTTCGGTGGCCGATTTCGTAAATCGGAGCATTTCGACTGTTCTTCTGCACAGATGGGCCACCTTGGGATTCGATATGCGTGTCTGACTCGTAAAGTCGGGTCAGGTCGATCTGTCCTGACAGGTGACGTCTGTTGAGGCGCCTCAACCTGGTCAACCTCTTCCCCTCACCCACCCCTCTATATCACACATCTCCTCTCCCTCCCCTCCCCCTCCAATCTTTCTCCTCCTCATTCCGCCCTGACACCACACCAGGTTTGACCCGGCCACGCACCGCCTGACGGGCAGCAGCGACCTCAACCTCGTCAACCTCTTCCTGCGCCTCTTCGGCCCCTGCACAGAGGAACACCTCTGCATCCGCCTGCTGCTCTTCCAGGTAGCCTCAGGACGCCTTGAGGGTTGTTCATTTTGAGAGTGGGTGATGGTTGGGTGAGGGTGGATCTTCGGCCACGCTGCTCAGGCTCTTCGGCCCGTGCACAGAGGAACACTTCTGCATCCGCCTGCTGCAACGCCAGGTACTCCCTGCCCTTCCAGGTACTCCCTGCTCTTCCAGGTACTCCCTGCCCTTTCAGGTACTCCCTGCCCTTCCAGGTACTCCCTGCCCTTCCAGGTACTCCCTGCCCTTTCAGGTACTCCCTGCCGTTCCAGGTACTCCCTGCCGTTCCAGGTACTCCCTGCCCTTCCAGGTACTCCCTGCCCTTCCAGGTACTCCCTGCCCTTCCAGGTACTCCCTGCCCTTCCAGGTACTCCCTGCCCTTCCAGGTACTCCCTGCCCTTCCAGGTACTCCCTGCCCTTTCAGGTACTCCCTGCCGTTCCAGGTACTCCCTGCCGTTCCAGGTACTCCCTGCCCTTCCAGGTACTCCCTGCCCTTCCAGGTACTCCCTGCCCTTCCAGGTACTCCCTGCCCTTCCAGGTACTCCCTGCCCTTTCAGGTGCCGCGTGCTTTGTCAGGAGCCCCATTGGCAGCTCTAGCTAATGTTGCTGTCACAGGTAGCATCAAATGACCTGAGGGTGTATCTTCTTGACAGTGGCTGTGGTAACTGCACTGTGTCTGTGCTGGGTGTGTGTCGCTCATTCACATTGGGTGTGTGTTGCTCATTCACATTGGTCCATGCACAGAGGACACGCTCCACATTCGCCTGCTCTTTCTCGCGCTGTTTCTTTGCTGGATTGGCATGGCTCGCACTTGGATGGTCACGCCTCAGAATCATCTATTGCTCTGGATTGTTTCTGCTAGATGGTCTCATACTCATTCCTTCTCGACTCTCCGTCCTGTGTCACCCACTCACACTTCCTTTCAGTCCTTTCTTATTCCAACTCCTCGCTCTCCCTCCCCACACTCCCTTCTCACATTCCTTCTAACTCTGCGCTCTCAATCGCCCTTCTCACACTCTTCCCTCACACTTCCTCCTCACACTCCCTCGTCAAACTACCTCCTCACAGTTTTTCCTCGCACCCTCACTTCACATCACTCAGTCAAGTCACATCTCCTTTTCACATCCTTCCTATCCTCATTCAAGTGTTCCCTTATTCACCCATTCTCCCTTCAAGGCCTACTTGGCCTATCACGCGTTATGCCCATCCTCATCCCTTGGGGTTGATTCAGATTCCCCGTACTTACCATAGAAATTCCCTGCATTTTCCGTAGAGAATACCACTACAACCTTACACAGCGCACCCACCTTTCCTTCTCTCCTCATGCTCACCTCTTGTCCCTGCTCTCTGCTCATTCTCCTGTCGTTGCATCCTCTCGTATCTTCCAGGTCCCTTTGCTCTCCTCTGCTTCACATTACTCACCCCCTTCGTGTTTGCTCCCCTTTTCCCTCTCCCACCCGGCGCTCACCTCTCTCGCCGCGCATTCTCCTGTCGTTGGAGCCTCTCTTTACTTTCCCTCCCTCTTGTCCGATGCAGGTACTCTCCTCTCTCCTCTCCTTTGCATTATGCAACCCCTTCGCCTTCCTTCCCCTCTTCTTCTTCCCACTCGTCTCTCTCCCCCTCCCCTGCCTTTGCTTCCCCCCCCCCCTCGTCCCATGCAGGTACTCTCTGCTCTCCTTTGCTTCTCTGCCCGCCTTGTCCTTCAAGGGTGGTACAAATGAGGCAGTGCACTCAAACTACACCACTTTGTGATCTGTTATTATGTAAGTCAGACTTTGATGACACAACGATGCTATTAAATGGGAACAAGGGAGTCAGATGTTTGATTGCGATTTAATACCTCTCAAGTGTGAAGTTGCAGCAATCTGTGATTTACTAATATGAGAGCTGTACGAAAGTAGGGTGTTTTTGTGCTTGAGTGAAGGCCTGCCTCCTGTTACTCTCGCTGCAATATTTTTCCCGAATTCCACATGTTTTTGTTATGTTAACTTCATTACAAGATTATTCCCCTCTATGCTGCTCCCCGCCCCACACATACACCACACTCTGATCTCCCACTCAACCCACCACTAACCGGCACCTACCAGTAACACAGCATGTCACAGCTCCCAGCGCCGTGTGCTTGAAGCATCTACACCCTTACAGTTGAACACTCTGCTGCTGCTTTACACGCTAATACCCCAAATAGACATTCCATCATTGCTCGAAACAGGGTCCACCGCATTGCAAGAGCTGACCTGACAATCTCAGGAAGAACACGATTCGTTTCCGCCAGGCCTCACTGGCATCACGAGATGTTGCCATGAGGACGATCTACTCGTCATGGTCGTGATGGTCTTCATGATGGTCGTGATGATCGTCATGATGGTCGTGATGATCGTCATGATGGTCATGATGATCGTCATGATGGTCGTCGTGGTGGTCATCATGGTCGTCATGATGGTCGTCGTGGTGGTCATCATGGTCGTCATGATGGTCGTCGTGGTGGTCATCATGGTCGTCATGATGGTCATCATGGTCATCGTCGTCCTTCTTCGCCTTTTTCAGCGCACACGCCTTCACCCACACCGCGTAATTCGGCTCGCACCCCACCTTCGCCTAGTAGCACTGGTGGCGGTGGTACAGGCACCAGTCCTTGCAGCCCCACTTGCCGTACTATCAGCTCTTGAATGACCGGTACGCCTTGCGCCCGCACGTCTTAGCCTGCGCCTCGCACGTCGCCATGCCTTCGGAGGAACTTGACGCTTTCTCCGCACACTCGTGCTTCTTCTCCGCGCACTTCTTCTGCTTAAGCTGGAATTTCTGCATGCATGTGAGAGGCTTCGGCTTAGGCTTTGGCTTCTCTTTCTTCTCGCGATGATCGTCGTCGTCGTGATGGTCGTAATGATCGTCGTCGTGATGATCGCCATGATGATCGTGATGGTCGTCGTCGTGATGGTCGTCATGGTGATCGTGATGATCATCGTCCAGGAATCGCCTGGCTGCGACAGTCGGGATGATACACCTCAGCGGACGAAAACTGTCGCCCAATTTCGCGGTTGCGAAAGGACAAGGCCCGCCCTCGGGCCTGACCAACCCTTGACAAGCTCCGGGTGGCAAACTAGGGCGAACTGGCACTGCTCCCGGGCACGCGAGCCCTCGGGATTGTCGACAGCCCGACGACCTCGGGTTTCGCTGAGACAACCCCGAGAAGGATATCTCAACGCGTGGCAATTTCCCAGCTCGACACGTCAGGCCGCGATCTTCGCCACACGGCAACAGGGGGACGACCGAGATCGTCCCTGAGGTCGCGGGACCAACGAGGGCTGCCGCGATCGCCACGGCGGTGCCACGTATCGCTCCCTGGTCGATCTGCTTTTCGCGGGAACACAGCGTGCCGACCTTTTTTTTGCGGGGAAAAAAAAAAACCCGCCTATAATGCAATGTCGGTGTCGCCCACCTATCCAACGGCCGATAAGCGAGCCATGCGTCTTACCCCGACCGGCCCCGCCGCTGTCTAGGTGCAGCGAATCGAACCACATACGGGCTGGAGCCAGAGGGAATGCCGGCGTCGACCAAGAGAGGCTTTTTGTCGGCATGACGCGCGGCTCTCCGTGATGTGTCAAACTATATTTGCTATAGTCTGTTTAGGCTGTAGTGGGGTAGTCAATATGGGGTACAACACTTTAGGGTTTCCTACTTGTACTCCTCATGCTGCTCAATGCATTCATTCCTCGTTTTCATTCTCACATGGTTTCAGAGCAGGTTCCCTAGTGGAACACTCTATAGGGCCCACCTCGATATTTTTTTTTCCTGCCCGGAGCGTGCTTCGCTCCTGCCCGAGTCGCGCCGCCCTTAGCGGCCCCTCTCACAGCCCCTTGAGCCGCCCTCACGGACCCGCGCGCCGCCTTTGCGGCCCCTCGCGCCACCCGTCGACCCCGCGCGCCGCCCTTTCGGCCCCGCGCGCCTCCCCTGCGGCCCCGCGCGCCTCTCGTCGGCCCCGCGCGCCGCCCCTGCGGCCCTGCACGCCTCTCGTCGGCCCCACGCGCCGCACTTGTGGCCCCTTGCGCCGCTCCTCGGCCACGCCGCCGCCCTTGCGGCCCCTCGTGCCGCCCTTAGCGGCCCCGACGCCGCCCTTGCGGCCCCTTGCGCCGCTCCTCGGCCCCTCCCGCCGCCTTAGCGGCCCCTCGTGCCGCTCCTAAGCGGCCCCGACGCCGCCCTTAGCGGCCCCTTGCGCCGCTCCTACGCGGCCCCGACGCCGCCTCCTAAGCGGCCTCGACGCCGCCTCTACCGAGCCGCCCAGCACCAGAGCCGCCGAGCCGCCCAGCGACAGAGCCGCCGAGCTGCCCGACAGCCGAGCCGCCCGACAGCCGAGCCGCCCAGCAGCCGAGCCGCCGAGCCGCCCAGCCGCCGAGCCGCCCGACAGCCGAGCCGCCTAGCAGCCGAGCCGCCCAGCCGCCCAGCCGCCGAGCCGCCCAACAGCTGAGCCGCCCAGCAGCCGAGCCGCTGGCCGCTACCAGTCCTGCCGACGCGCCCCGGCCCTACTTACTCGTAGTGGTGAGCCCCCTCCTCGCTACACCTTTGCAGTCATGGCTACCCCCAGTGTCCTTACCTTTGACACTTAGGGCCGTGCTGTTGACTTTGAGGTCTGGGTCGATGACCTCCAGCTGTTCCTCCAGTGCGATAGGGCAGACGGCCTCTCTTTGTTCGACCTCACCTCTGGTGCCTTCCCTGCCCCGGCTGCTACTGCTGACAGCACTGTTCGCTCACAGTGGGCGACTCGCGATGCTGCTGCCCGTCTTGCTGTGCGTCGCCACTTACCGACCACTGAGCATGCGCACTTTAGCCAGTACAAGAGTGCTCAGACCTTGTACGACGCTGTAGTTGCACGCTACTCTTCCCCTGCCACTGCTGCACTGAGCCGCCTCATGCTACCGTACCTCTTCCCTGACCTTGCTGCCTTTCCCATAGTCGCTGACCTGATTACGCACCTCCGCACTAGTGACACTCGCCACCGCGCTACGCTTCCTGCTGAGTTCTGCGCCAAGAACCCCCCCCCCATGTACATCACCCTCTACTACATAGTCACTCGCTCCCTGACTCTCTCCGCTTAATCAGGGACCACTTCCTCTCAGTTTGCCCCACCACTCTCACCGTTGACCTCCTCGAGAAGGCCCTCCTAGTAGCAGAGACGAGCATAGTCGCTGTAGGAGCCTCTCGTGGTGACCCTCGCACCCCCGTCTTTGAGGGGTGTTCCCCCTCCCCCCTCTTGCCCTCTGTTGCTTCTGTTGCTGCTGCCGACCTCGTTGGTTTCTACGGGGTCGGCGCTGCGTCTGCCCCTAGCGGGAGACGCCGCACCAGCAAGGGCAAGGGGGGCAAGGGAACAGGAGGGGCTAGCGGGGGCAGTGGAGGTGGTGGTGGTGGAGGCAGTGGAGGGAGTGGGGGTGGTGGTGGGAGTGGTGGCGGGGGCGTTGGTGGCGGCGGCAGCAGTGGAGGCGGAGGAGGCGGCGGTGGTGGCGGAGGGAGCGGAGGCGGCGGAGGTGGCGGAGGAGGCGGCGGTGGAGGAGGCGGCGGAGGCGGCGGCGGAGGCGGTGGTGGAGCGGGTCGCGACTCTACGCAGAGGAGTGGGTCAGGTGGTGGTCCGCGCCAGCAGCAGCAGCGCGGTCGTGAGACCCTGTCCCCTCAGCAGCTTCGTAAGTGGTACGCTGCGCGTCAGCACGGTGGGGGCACTGGTCCCTGCACTTACGTCCTCCGTACCGGCGACCGAGCAGGTGAGCAGTGCGGGGGGCCGCACTCCACCATGCGCTGCTTCGGCCGCTTGACAGACGCGTGGCGTCACCAGTTCCCTAAGGCGTCAGAGATCCCTCGCTGGGGAGATCTGTCTAGGGCGGGGGTTGCCATCTTTGATCTTGACTATGATGCTATCCTTGCTGCCATGTATGATGTGTCTACTAGTGTTGAGGGTGACTGTTACCTGTGTGTACCGCCTGACCCGGGCATTGAGGCCACTGCTCTAGGTGCTGGTGAGGCTGCTGTTCTAGGTGCTAGTGCGTCTGCTACACCAGGTGCTAGTGCGTCTGCTGCCCCAGGTACTAGTGCGTCTGCTGCCCCAGGTGCTAGCGCGTCTGCTGCCCCGGGTGCTAGTGCGTCTGCTGCCTCTGGTGCTGGTGAGTCTGCTCTCTCAGGTACTAAGTCGGCTCAGGCCTTACACACCTTCACCCTTGACTCGGGTGCGTCCCGCTCCTTCTTTCGAGACCGCACCACTTTTACGCCGCTCAGTCGGCCGGTTGCAGTCTCCCTGGCGGACCACTCTGGAGGTCCTGTCCTTGCTAGCTTCTCCACTTTCTTACCGTGTCTTGCAGCCCCCTCTGGCACCCTGTCAGGTCTCTACCTCCCCTCGTTCTCTACGAACTTGGTGAGTGGAGCGGACCTACAGGATAGGGGGGTTGACCAGTTCACTTCTGCGAGTCAGCAGGTGACCCACTGAACGGACGCTCGGACGGGCCGACACTTGGCCACGTTTACCCGTCAGCCGGGGTCGAGCCTGTACACACTGACCACTGAGTCTCCTCCTGTTGCTGCGTTTGGTCAGGTGGCTGCGTCGAGTCAGGTGTTTGCTGCAGCGTCCAGGTCTGGTCCTGAGTCTGCTCCCTGCTCGTGTCGTCTCCTGTCCCACCAGACTCTCCTTTGGCACCACCGCCTTGGTCACCCCTCCCTGCCTCGTCTCCGAGGCATGGCCTCCCGTGTCATTGTCTCTGGTCTCCCCCGGTCTCTTCCTCCCCTACCTCCGGGGCCTGGCCCTACCTGCATCTCCTGCGTCGAGGGGCGACAGCGTGCCGCCCCTCACTCCTCCGAGTTTCCTCCGACAGAGGCTAAGCTGTCGACTCTCCAGGGGCCCCGCCCGCGTCCGTGGACAGGGGCACGAGCGTTACTTCCTGTTGGTGGTTGAAGACTACTCGCGTTACACCACACTCTTCCCCTTGCGTAGCAAGGGTGACGTCACTAAGGTGTTGATGGACTGGATCCGCACAGCTCGTCTCCAGCTAAGAGGGAGTTTCGGCTCGGACTTTCCTGTTCTTCGTCTACACTCTAACAGAGGCGGGGAGTTTTCCTCTGCCCGTCTGGGAGCCTTCTGTCGTGCACAGGGCATCCGCCAGACCTTCACGCTTCCGGCCTCTCCACACCAAAATGGGATTGCTGAGCGCCGCATTGGCATGGTCATGGATGTCGCTCGTACGTCCATGATGCATGCGGCTGCCCCCCATTTTCTGTGGCCGTTTGCGGTTCAGTACGCCGCGCATCAGCTCAACCTTCAGCCCCAGGTCTCCTTGCCAGAGACCTCCCCCACCTTGCGGTGGACGGGGGAAGGTTGGCGATGCATCTACGTTTCGGGTCTGGGGATCTCGGGCGTTTGTCCGCGACTTGTCTGCGGACAAAGTGTCCCCCCGTGCTGTTCCCTGCGTCTTCCTTGGCTTCCCCCCTGACGCGCCAGGGTGGCAGTTTTACCACCCCACCTTGCGCCGTGTTCTGTCCTCCCAGGACGTCAACTTTGACGAGTCGGTGCCTTACTACCGTCTCTTCCCCTACCGCACTGCGCCCCTCCCCCCGCCGCCGCTCTTCCTTGCGCCAGGTCCTCCCTCGGTAGACCCCCTTCCCCCTCAGGGTCCTGCCCCGTCAGGTGTGTCCCAGGTAGACGCAGTCGAGCCTATCGAGGTAGCTGTTGACTCTGGTGCTGTTAGAGCTGCTGAGCCTGCGGGTGCCGGGTCTGGGGGTGCTGAGCCTGGGGGTGCTGAGACTGGGGGTGCTGAGCCTGGGTGTGCTGAGTCTGGAGGTGCTGTCCCTGGGGGTGCTGAGTCAGGGGGTGCGGAGCCTCGGGGTGTGGAGCCAAGGGGCGCTGGGTCTGCTCGTGTGGCCGCCGGCGGTGCTTCGTCGAGGCGGGAGCCACTCTCTCCACAGGAGCTGCGCGAGTGGTTTGCCCGGCGCTGGAGCCGTGCTGCTGGAGCTGGAGGTACTACTGTTGCTGCTAGTCCCGGAGGTGCTCGTACAGGCGGTACTGGAGCTACAGGGACTGGGGGTGCTGCTGGAGCTACTGGAGTTGGTCCTGATGGAGGCAGTGCTGGAGCTGCCGACAGTACTGGAGCTGCCGGTCCTGCTACTGCTGGAGCTGCTGGAGCTGGAGCTTCTGGGGGTGTTGGCGCTGGTGTTTCTGCTGGCGCTGGTGCGTCTGAGGGTGCTGGAGTTGGCGCTGTTGGAGCTGGAGGTGCTGCTGGCACTGGTGCTGCCGCTGGGAATACTGGTGCCGTCCCAGCTGTTTCTCGAGGCGCTGCGCGGCCGCGGCCGTACTTCGCTCCGCTCCTTGAGCAGGTTCTTGGTCTCCCGCCCTCTACTAGTCCTGCTCCTCGGAGTGTCCACAGCCTATCCAGTCGCGGTCATAGTTACAGCCCGCCTCCCACCTACCTGCTCTTTCTCCCTACACTGGTCCTACTGGAGGTCTTGCTGAGCGTCGTGAGCCTGCGTCTCGTCCTGTGTCGCCTGTTCGTGCTGCTCGCACTAGTGGTCGTGCTTCGCGTCCGCGTCCTCCTGCGGTCCTCGGCACGCGCCAGATGGCACTGCGTCCTTCCACTGCTCCTCTGCGTGTCCCGTTGCCGTCTCCTCCTGAGTCCTCTCTTCCTACTCTTGCTGACCCTGAGTCTGACTCCCTTCGTGCTGCCAGTCCTACTGTCACACGTCTCCTGGCTATTGTTGTCTCTGACCCTTCTTTTGAGTCCACTGCTGCGTCTGCCTTAGTGGCTGAGCTGGTCGACGTTGCTGCTCGCTGTCCTCTAGACTACGCTGCTAGTCTTGTTGCTGAGTCTGAGTCTGTCTGTCCTCTCTCCTTGAGGTGAGTGTGCTCTTAGCACGGACGTCCTTGAGGACAGGCAGGAGGAGTTCCAGTGTTTTGCTGCTGCTTTGCCTCATCTCGTGTCCACGCTGATTGCCCCTAAGGGAGACCCGGATGCACCAGACATCCCGAATCCTCGATCGTACGCTGAGGCGATCGAGGGTCCCTACTCCTCTCAGTGGCAGTCAACCATGGACGCAGAGATGGCTTCCTGGAAGTCCATAGGCGTCTACCTCGACGAGGTTCCCCCACCTGGGGCGAACATCGTCAGTGGAATGTGGATTTTCAGGGTGAAGCGGCCGCCAGGTTCTCCGCCTGTCTTCAAGGCGCGTTACGTGGCTCGAGGCTTGAGTCAGCGGCAGGGAGTTGACTACTTTCAGACCTTCTCTCCCACCCCGAAGATGACCACTCTTCGGGTGCTGCTGCACATAGCCGCTCAGCGCGACTACGAGCTTCACTCTCTTGACTTCAGCACAACTTTCCTGCAGGGCAGCCTGCACGAGGAGATCTGGCTGCGCCGCCCATCTAGCTTCACTGGGTCATTTCCTCTTGGTACCCAGTGGAGCCTCCGGCGGCCAGTCTACGGTCTCCGCCAGGCGCCCCGTGAGTGGCACGACACACTGAGGACTACACTTGCGGCTCTTGGGTTTGCTCATTCTACACCCGACCCGTCTCTGTTTCTGCGCACCGACACCTCTTTGCCGCCGTTCTACATCCTCGTGTACGTTGACGACTTGGTCTTTGCCACTGCTGACACTGCTGGACTCGCCCATGTGAAGTCGGAGCTGCAGAAGAGACACACGTGCACAGACCTGGGTGAACTGCGCAGCTACCTTGGCTTGCAGATCACCCGGGACAGAGCACAGCACACCATTACCCTGACTCAGTCACACATGGTGCAGCAGGTCCTTCAGCGCTTCGACTTCACGTACTCCTCGCCTTAGGCCACTCCTCTGTCTACTCGCCACTCGCTCTCAGCTCTGCCTTCGGATGAGTCCGTAGAGCCGAGTGGCCCGTACCCAGAGCTTGTTGGCTGCCTCATGTACCTGATGACCTGCACACGACCTGACCTTGCATACCCTCTTAGCATCTTTGCACGCTATGTTGCTCCTGGGAGACACCGACCAGAGCACATGGCTGCAGCGAAGAGGGTTTTGCGCTACTTGTGCAGTACGTCAGGCATGGGGCTAGTGCTTGGAGGGCGACGTCCAGTGGTCCTCACTGGTTACGCAGACGCTTCTTGGGCTGACGACCAGGCTACGCAGCGGTCGTTACCGGGTTACACCTTCAGCCTTGGTTCCGGCTCTGTCTCGTGGCGATCTACCCGCTCGTCTTCTGTTCTCGGCTCCAGTTGTGAGGCCGAGATCCACGCTGGGGCCATGGCTGCACAGAAGCTACGCTGGCTCACCTACGTGCTGACTGACCTTGGAGAGCAGCCTCGTTCTCCTCCAGTTCTGTACGTGGACAACAAGGCCATGCTGGCCTTGTGTCGGGAGCACAGACTGGAGCACAGAACGAAGCACATTGCTCTTCGCTACTTCCTTGCTCGTGAGCTGCAGCAGCGGGGTCAGCTGCGCCTTGCTTACGTGGCCTCTGAGGCCAACACTGCTGATATCTTTACCAAGGCACTTCCGCCTTGTGATCATCAGAGCTTATGTACTTTGCTAGGTCTTGTGCCTACTTGGCCTCACTTGCTCACCTCTTGACTTTGCTTGTACTGTGATCTATATATACCTGCACTTGCATGCATACTCTTGCTAGGTTGTGATCACTGCCTTGCTTGTTCTTCTTGATGTATAACTCTGCTTGTGAACTGGCCTTGTGGCCTTGTGCTTGTGCTCAGATTGTGTGGTGACGTTGTGATCCACCCTGGGCTTGTCTTGCTTCTCTTGACTGGTCTTGTGACCCCTTGTTCTCCCCCACTTTGCCTATGGGGGTGTGTCAAACTATATCTGCTATAGTCTGTTTAGGCTGTAGTGGGGTAGTCAATATGGGGTACAACACTTTAGGGTTTCCTAATTGTACTCCTCATGCTGCTCAATGCATTCATTCCTCGTTTTCATTCTCACATGATGTGATGCTAAAATTACGCGGGAAGTCGGCGGCCCCGGCATTCATGGTGCGAGGCACCAATGGTGAGTCGACGACACGTAGCGCATGCCCATGGCACCGTGGAATGGCCAGGCATTAAGCTCGGTGAGTGCAGCGCGGCGTACCACTAGCCATGCATGGCACATGGCACGTCGAAAACTCCGCCGTCGAACGAGGATACATGCACGCTGGCACTTGCAAAGGGGCTTGCGTGGAGCGC